ATTCGTTCATGTTATATAATATAAATCAAAATTATGTTTATTTTTTAAAAAATATATATATACGTTTCATTGTAAAACAAATAAGAATAAAAATTAATTTTATAAAATTGAAGATTTATTTATTTTCCTTCTAAGAAATTTTTATCATTATTTATTTATTACACCTGTCTTTATCTATATGGCTGATAAAAGAGAACTATCGTATATAATATATATATATATACTAGAGGGGCTACGCCCCCCTGCGCGCTTCGCGCGCCAACCCCCCTATTTTAATCATTTTTTTAATTGATCTCATTTTTCCAAATGAACCACCTATTTCAAAGAATTATTATTACAAATTCATTGAAATCTGAATAAATATTATTAAAATTAAAATTATTAAATTTTAATTATTAATTAATTAATTTAATTATTTTTAAAAATAATTTCAATGAAATTGACTAACAACCAATAAATTATTAAAAAGTCTTGAAACGAACATAACCTTTAAATTCAAGTCATTTTTGGCGGAAATTCCACCTTCACTTGCGGCTATATTGAAAGTCTTGAAATTTACATAACCTTAAAATTTATGTCATTTTTGGCGGGAAATACAGAGAGAGATGAGGGAAGGGGGAAGGACTTACTGCTTAATTAGGGTCTTAAAACAAACATAACCTCAAAATTTAGGTCAATTTTTTGCGGAGGAGGGGAAATGAGAGGAGGGAGGGGGGACTTGCGGCTATATTCAGAGCCTTGAAACGAACATAACTTCAAAATTTAGGTCATTTCTGGCGGGGGAGGGGAGGGGACTTGCGGCTATATTCAGAGCCCTGAAACGAACATAACTTCAAAATTTAGGTCATTTCTGGCGGGGAAGGGGAGGGGACTTGCGGCTATATTCAGAGTCTTGAAAGGAACATAACCTCAAAATTTAGGCCATTTTTGAATGAGGAGGGGAAATGAGAGGAGGGAGGGGGACTTGCGGCTATATTCAGAGCCTTGAAACGAACATAACCTCAAAATTTAGGTCATTTCTGGCGGGGGAGGGGACTTGCGGCTATATTCAGAGTCTTGAAACGAACATAACCTCAAAATTTAAGTCATTTCTGGCGGGGGAGGGGACTTGCGGCTATATTCAGAGTCTTGAAACGAACATAACCTCAAAATTTAAGTCATTTCTGGCGGGGGAGGGTAGGGGACTTGCGGCTATATTCAGAGTCTTGAAACGAACATAACCTCAAAATTTAGGCCATTTTGGCGGAGGAGGGGAAATGAGAGGAGGGAGGGGGGACTTGCCGTAAATTCAGAGCCTTGAAACGAACATAACCTCAAAATGTAGGAGGGGGGACTCCCCCCTCGTAGGTCAAGAATTCTTGAAACAGCGGCGGCGGCGATATCTTTTTGTAATATAGGAAGATATATATACACTACATAAATGGTCGCAAATAATAAAAGAAAATTAAAATTTACAAAGAATTGAGTTGATATTTCAAGCAGAGTTTCTCAATGAGCAATGATTTCAAAAAGTAAACAAAAGATTTTACAATAATAAAATTTGTAGATGACAAAACAGATAACCACCTCTCATCCAAATCAAACCCGTTAAAATCTTCATAAGTGTGCACACGCAGAGCAACTCGTAAGTATATGGTAAAGGTCTTCACCCTACTGGCCACAGAATGGACATACGTTCTCATTAAATTTATAAGCTTTATTACCTATAATTATTCTGTTATTATACACTACCGGCAGATATTGTTGGTACGCTTGACGTGCGAGGATTGAAAATTTGATGCCGACTTTAAAGCTAGAAATTTTAATTAGAGAAAAGTAAGAGACTTGTAACATAGATGATTGGAAAGCTGATAAAATTCTCCGTCTGAATGTACACTACCGTCGGAGATTGTGCGAACTCTACTTCTTCAACAACTATAAAACTGTTCAAATCTTTAAAAATATTGTAACTAAAATTTTTTCCTTTTCATTTTATTAAAGCTAATAAAATTCTAAAAGAAATGACACCTTGACAAAGAAAATATGTTAATTTTTCAATTAGATGTCTAAGAAAAACCCAATTTTCAATGTTTTTACTATTTTTTTATTTCACTGGCAAAAATTTATATTTTTAAACCTTCTTGGGCTCATTGAAATCGTATTTTGTTATGCAATTCAAATTATATCAAACAATTCATGTACACATTTTTCCCTAGCGTATGCAAACCGTGAAAGTTTGCTCATAAAAATTCAAGAAATTATGATTAATATTTATATGACAAAAAATTATCAGTAAAATGTATAAATCTTAAATTTACTTACATAAATCAGAGAAGTTCATTGTTATCTATTTATTTAATTTTTAAAAATTACATTTTGTTGTAGAATTGAACTTTAATTTTTTGACTTTTTTGTAGCCAACTTTAACGGTTTGCATACGCTAGGAAAGAATGTGTAAATGAATTGTTTTAAATAATTTGAATTGTATAACAAAATTCGATTCCAATGAGCACAAGAACGTTTAAAAATATTAATTTTTGACAGAGAAATAAAAAAAATAGTGAAAACATTAAAAATTGGGGTTTTCTTAGATATCTAATTGAAAAATTAACATATTCTCTTTGTCAAGGTTTCATTTCTTTCACAATTTTATTAGCTTTAATAAAATAAAAAGGAAAAAATTTTAGTTTTAATATTTTTGAAGATTTGAACAGTTTTATAATTTTTGAAAAAGCAAAGTTCGCACAATTTCCGACGGTAGTGTATATCAAGAAAAATTTTTTCTGTTCTTTAGCATTTATAACATCAAAAAGATTTCATGAAAAAATTATGCAAGTTTCCTACTTCCGTACTGATGGTTTTGTCTCCTAACCTATTCTAGAATACTGTATGGAAAAGTTTGAGAATTTTACAAGATCTTTAATATCTCAGTTTTAATTTACATTTTTGAAACTTAAAAAATGTTTTGTGGTTCCTGAAATATGTTAAAAAAGGTCCGAGCAAGTTTTTCTACAACTTAACCTTCCATCATCACTTTTCGCCGCCTTGTTGCTGGATTGTAAAAAACATGCTTGAATATTTTTTAACATATTTTAGGAAATACAAAACATTTTTTAAGTTTCAAAAATACAAATTAAATTTTCACTCCTCGCACGTCTAGCGTACTAATCGGCAGGGATGAATATATCAATAGGCTACAAGATCTAGAGTGTTTCTCTAAATCTATAGCCCTAAGTCGACCTCCATATCTCTCGAGTAGTGAATCCCTTCTTTGATTAATATGATCAAGAGAAAGGTTCTCCCAAATATTCTCTTCGTTGTTTAACCCGAAGTTGTGGTAAAGTTGTAGGAGCCAGTTAGACCGGAAAGAAGGATTACTAATTGCCAGGTCTCTCAAAACCTCGTAACACCGTCTGGGAAGTCTAGTTTTATCTATAAGAGAAATTCTAAAAATCAACGACAGTGTGAACGATAATACCTTGAGGGAAAGGCAGGAAGAGACCGTTTCCAGCCTGACAGCATAACTTGGTGTATTTATAGGCAAAGAAAGAAGTCTTTTTAATAATAAAAGCTGAGATTTTTTAATCACGTCCAAATGCGAGAAACCCCAAATCTGAATCCCATAGTACAGGACACTCAAAGCAAAACTCTGAAAAAGTTTAATATATGCCTTCCATGGGTCGGCACCCAACGAATAAAAGATTTTAAAAATCTTACCAATTTCAGCATTTGTGGCGTCAACAGCCTCCTGGCTGCATCTAGATGCAGCCAGGAGAAAAGAACCCGAACCTGAGAAAGGAATCTCTAAATATATAAAATGATCTACTATTTCAATGTATTGTGTGTACTTGAACGCTTTTAAATTTTTGGCTTTAACATTTGGCTATCTAGTAAAAATAAAAAATTTTGTTTTCCCCGTGTTTACCGTTTAACAATAGTTATTATTTACCGCCTTACAATAGTTACATAAAGAATTCAATTATTTAGATACTTCCAACGGAGAATCACAAAGAAAAAAATAACACCCATTAGGGTATTATGCAATATATTGAATACCCAATAGTCGCAATCTCATTCTTACAATCGACAGATTGGTTACAAGATTTAAGATAATTCAACCATGTTGGTAATCCAGTAACTGAAATCTGTGAGCCTCTCGGTCTAAATCTATTGATAATACCATTTATTTCAATATTAAAAAAGCAGATTATAACAAACAAAAAATTACTTTTTAATTATATTATTATTAAGAAGCGTTTGAGAGCTCGGGAGGGAATGTTGGAAGTTCACGCCCTCTCAAACGCATGCGCACATCTTTATAAGTGAATGCCACCTACTGTGTCTTTTATTAACACTTATTATCTTCGTTTTGGTTGCCCCTGAGCGTTTGTACGAATTATAAACTTCTTTGTGTTTTCTTAAACTTATGTTGTTGATTGTTTAAACATAAAACCTATCACATACAATTAACGCAACACTTGAAAATAGAAGTTCAATTTCTCACCTAACGTTTTTTCGGTTCATTTTTAATTAAAATTCATTAATTTTTAAAATTGTATGTCCACTATATTGGATCCGCCACTTTGAAAATTAACTTCAGGTTCGTAGTCAGCGACCCAAAAAACCCACAAGTAACAAATTTTCGGCCTGAAAGCCGAATCTGGCTGGACAAAACTATTTAGTTTTGTCCAGCCAGATTCGGGTTTCAGGCCAGTGTGTCGCGTAAACAATGATTGCCTTTGATCCATATTGCTTAATAATTTATTAATCAACAAAGCCTAGATACCGTATCTAGGCCTTGTTAAGATTAATAAATTATTTATAATTTAACAATTAATAACCAAAAAGCATATACACATTGCTTAATTTTATTACAGTATGAGGATAAAAATAAAAATTACGTTCATCTTAAATATGATCTATTTGCTTCAAAGGTAATAAGAAACAAGATACTAATATTAACCCGATGTATTACTCCAATTGCTTAACTCTTTTCTAATTATTCAAGTAATTTGAATTACCTATAACGTTGAGTTTCAAAGGCAGGCACTACAATGGCAATCATTGATGATCGAGTAATATTATATTTTTCGATGTATTTTGTAAATGATTTTAATAATCCAATATGAGGAATAAAATCAATGTCCATTTGAAAAGCAAACGGTGTTGAAATGTGTGACATGGCGACATTTCGTAAGTAATTCACTGGATAAAATTCCTAAAAACATTCCTTCAGTTATTTTTTTAGATTTGCTAGCATAGAGAATTATAGTATATTAAGGGAACCCTCACCTGAATTTTCAACTATATAAGAACATGAATAAAAAAAAATTATATTTTCTTCTGACACATTTTGCGTTAGAAATCAAGTGAAAAAAATTATTTTATCTGAAATTTTGACACTGTAACTTCTGAGAAAATTAATATTTCACAAATTACATGCCCTTAATTGTAAAAGAAAGTGTAAAAACTCGATAAAACAAGAGCCATAGAAAATTGATATTTGTAGAAGAAACTTTTTTTGTAAATAATTAGTAAAATATCGAACATTTAGTATGCATAAAACTTTAATATAATGAAATAATCTTCCGTTTTTTCTAATTATAATTTCAATGCTTCATAAACACCTGGTAATCCAATATTTCGAATGGAATGTTAAAGTTAATTATGTAGCTAGTGACTATAAAATTGGTTCGGACGTTTTAGGTTGTAAAGTAGAAACGAAAAATTTTATAGGAAGAACTTTTTATATTTTTAGCAATATGCCAAACAAAAGATAAAAATATGTGTATTCAATGCAATCTTATAATTTTTCAAAATATACATGTTCCAAATAATTTGATTATTTTTAATTTATATGTGTACGTCCGTGCGTGAACATTAATGCAAATATCGCCCTTATGAAAGAAACTAAAGTGGTTCCTTTTCATGCATTATTTAATTTCTTCTAGCTTATTAGGATAACTTTCAACTATTCGAATAACTACAATTACAAGGATAATATGTCAAATCAGTGAACAAAAATAAACGGTTACGGCTTTGTAAAAAAGTCTTTTTATAATTGCAAGGAAAAAATTGCATTTATTATCGCAATACTGCACAAAACAGATGGAACACTGAAAAATACTGTTGAATGAGCAGCTGATAATAACCAAGAGAAAGATTTAAATTATTTAGATATAATATAAATGAGTCCGAAATGTGCAAACTAACCAATTAGGATCGACAAAATTGAGTGTTATTGTAAAGAATCTGACTTCTGCTTCTAGGGATACTCAAGAGGTGAAAAGTAATTTTGAATACTTTTTACTGGATACAAGACTTTTGTCATATCTAGTTTTCAAAATAATACGTCTGGATTGTGGTGCAACAAACTTGAAAATTGTTGTTAGTGACGAAAAATAAATTTTTGTTTAAAAAATTTGTACTAGAGTGAGGGTTACAAAGACGAAAGTTCTCAGTATGTGAAATCGGAAATTTAAACTTCGAAACGTATTTCTAACTCCTCTTTATCGAGACCTTCATTTTATTTGAACATGCTTATTGTTATGGCTTTTAAGCAATTTGGTAAAAGATACGCAGGTATTAAAAAGTTTGCTATGATCATGAACAAGACCACATTTCAACAGAAAACTTCCGATACACACAGTGTGCAACAAAGTTTTAGATAAAATTTATGAAGAGTTTCTAGGTCATATCGAAGAAGCTAATGAAATTATTGAAAATGATTCTGACGAAATGATCCAGTAAATACTGGAGTAAGCTATGATGGATCTGGGTTGACATGCGATTACATGTTAAAGTATGGTGTAGGATGCGTTATTACCATGGTTACTGACTACTTAATTGACTCACATGTTTTCTCAAAATATTGTGCCATAAAGGTTCATTGTTAGTGTGATAAGAATGGTAGCTGTAATTCAACGTCAAATGCGTTTAGATCTTGAAGACCAAACAGTAGAGATTTGCAGAAAAAGTGACAGTAAGCTATATAAACAAGCTACTGAAAAATATAAGCGAGCACGTAGAATAATAAGTTTAGCTCAAATGCGAAGGAAACAAAATCTAATTGCGGCAGAAGGTCCTATGCACGAAGTAGGCATGTTTTAGTAAAGAAATTAAAGATTATTTCGTTATATTAAAGATTTATGGTTACTACGATGTTTTACTAATTGTTTACAAAAAATTCTTCTTCTACAAATTTCAATATTTTTTATGGTTCTTGTTTTATTGAGTTTCGTGCACTTTTTTACAATTAAGCGAATGAATTTTCTGAAATTTTAATTTTCTCAGAAAATACACTGTCAAAATTTCATTAAAAATCTTTAAATTTTTTTTAAATTGATTTCTGACTGAAAATATTGTCAGAAAAAAATATATGTCAAATTTTTCGTAATTATGTTCTCATATAGTTAGAAATTCAGGTGCAGGTCTCCTTATGCAACAAGAGGCTAAACTTATCCATTGTTAATGTTGGCATTTGCAGTTCTGGACCTAAACGAGCGCTTGCAAACGTCAACATAAATAATTTGGCTGCTTTGGCCCCGTGTTACTTACGATACCTTTAATTCCAATTCAGAAAAGCAGCGATTTCAGATAGCAGACGACAAGGAATAAAACTCATTCATTTTTTCGACTTGCATGAAAATGGCGTCTATTAGTAAGGGAGCCCATGATGCTAGATGGGGATTTACTTGAGCGTCGTCGGGACGATCATATTTTGTAGTTTAGATGATAAGGAAAATAAAAGCTTTTATAAAGTTTTCCCTTTTAGTTGTGCGTTATGCGTAAAAAAATTTTCAAAAATGTAAAAAAAACAATTATTTGGAAATACTTAAGCGTGTCAGATGTTAATAGTTTTGATACTCCAACGAGTCTTTAAAAATGCAAAAAAAATGCCCATCTTGAAATACTCGAGCGTGTTAGATTTTTATACAGATGGTTCATCTTGATGCTGCAGTCATGAAAGTCCAAAATCTGACGATTCGTTTGAGGAATATTGTTAATCCAACAGCTGTTTTGTCATCTGCTGTAATGGTGGTGTCATGGCGATGGAGAGCAGTGTCATAAATCGGGATTGTACGAGAGAGTCAGAAATAGGGAAAAAGTGAAGAATAAGGTAAGGCACGGAGTGGAGAATGTGTGTTCTACTCCAGTTGCGCGCTCTACCCTCCATAGACGATTTTCATTACTTTGCCTTTTGGAAATCGTCAGATTATATTTTACTAGGACTAATCTTTGCGCACTACGCGCGCCCTAAACTTTAGTTAAGGGGGTAGTCTGGTGTTTAGGCCTTTTTTTAGGAGCTTATTTCAGAATTTATTTTTATTATATAATAAAATATAATCACACCAAATCTTTTTACTTCGTTTTATTCTAATCCACGGTGAGCTTCGTTTTGGTTCAACCTAAACTGCATGACCCTTCTCAGGTTTTTTTTATATCAATTCGGTGATGCCTCACGATCATTTTAAGACGAAAATTAAAATAATCGTTGGAGGGAAACTCAAATTATATTGATTTTTAAATTTTTTTTCTAGATTATTGAAGATATTTTCATTAAAATACCGTTTGGTAAAATACTTATTGCTTCAAAAGCTACAATTTAACATAAAAATAGATTATATATAATAATTAAACCATTTTGATACATAGAATTAAGAAACTGTTTAAAAATAGTCGAAAAAACTGAAATTTTTCTAATTTTTTAAACTTTACTCCTTTATTTAACGTTATTTCAATAAAGTCATGTAGAAGTGAATTAAAGTACATAAAATTTCCTGTAAATCAAAAAAAAACTCTTCTATCTATTATTGTTACAAAAATATGGTCATTTGAATTTTAAATTTAATGGATAAATAGTTAAAATTTACCATTAGGTCTAGATTATTTGGTAAAATTGTTTTCGCAGAACCTCATCTCAATTCCATAATTAAATCGCGCTCTTTGTGAATACAACGGCCTTCACGCATTTTAAAAATATCGTGGTTGTTACCAAATATTTGTACCTTACCATTTACTTTTTAAAAAAGTAAATATTTTAAATATGATTATGTTGCATTTTTCAAAATAAACGGATTTTTAAAAACTACTCAAATCTCTCTTATAGAAATAGACATTCTTTAAACCAATGTAACTTTCGATGTAAGTGAGATAAATCAGTTTTTTCAATTTGAAACTGTTCAAGATTAAACCTTCTTATACGTATTATATTCTGGAATTGAGATGACGTTCTGCGAAAACAATTTTACCAAATAATCTAGACCTAATGGTAAATTTTAACTATTTATCCATTAAATTTAAAATTCAAATGACCATATTTTTGTAACAATAATAGATAGAAGAGTTTTTTTTTGATTTACAGGAAATTTTATGTACTTTAATTCACTTCTACATGACTTTATTGAAATAACGTTAAATAAAGGAGTAAAGTTTAAAAAATTAGAAAAATTTCAGTTTTTTCGACTATTTTTAAACATTTTCTTAATTCTATGTATCAAAATGGTTTAATTATTATATATAATCTATTTTTATGTTAAATTGTAGCTTTTGAAGCAATAAGTATTTTACCAAACGGTATTTTAATGAAAATATCTTCAATAATCTAGAAAAAAATTTAAAAATCAATATAATTTGAGTTTCCCTCCAATGATTATTTTAATTTTCGTCTTAAAATGATCGTGAGGCATCACCGAATTGATATAAAAAAAAACCTGAAAAGGGTCATTCAGTTTAGGTTGAACCTAAACGAAGCTCACCGTGAATCATGAAGTGTTGAAAAAAATTATAATCGATTATTTTTTACTAGACATTGTTATTTATGTTTAATATTAATGTTTGTATACAAAAAATGCTGGCGCAGGTGATTTACAAACATCTGTTCGACCGATTGCTCCAATTTTTTTAGAGACAATTTTTGAATCTTTTTGCTGATACAGTCCGCTATTTTGTTATTTATTAACAAAAATGTTTTATTCTAGTACGGGCCAGAGCCATGCTTGTGTAGAATAAACTGTAAAAAAATTAGAGCAATCGGTCGGATAGATTTTTGTAAATCATCTGCGCCAGCATTTTTTTGGTATAAACATTAATATTAAATATAAATAACAAAATTTAGTAATCGATTATAATTTTTTTCAACACTTCATGATTAGAATAAAACGAAGTAAAAAGATTTGGTGTGATTATATTTTATTTTATAATAAAAAAAAATCCTGA